AAAAAAAAAAAAAAAAAAAAAAGAGTATAGTATCTAACATGCTACCTGTCATATAGTAAGTGTTCAACAAAATAGTTATAACTTCTATGAGGTAGGAATGGAAGGGGAAGAAGACAGCCTTATGGCCCTGTTTTTGTTTGTTTGTTTGTTTGTTTTTGAGTTGGAGTCTCACTCCATTACCCAGGCTGGAATGCAGTGGCATGCTCACAGCCTCCCTATCACCAATTTGCTGGGCTCATGCAATCCTTCCACCTCAGCCGTCCAAGTAGCTGGAACTACAGGCGTGTGCTACCACGCCCGGCCATTTTAAAAACTGATTTGAGCCGGGCTCGGTGGCTCAGCCTGTAATCCTGTGCTTTGGGAGGCTGAGGTGAGTGAATTGCCTGAGCCCACGGGTTCGAGACCCGCCTGGGCAACTTGGCATGACCTTATCTCTACAAGAAATCAAAAATTAGCTGGGTGGTAGCGCGTGCCTGTGGTTCCAGCTACTTGGAAGGCTGAGGCGGAAGGATTGTCGGAGCCCAGCCAACAAGGTCGAGGCTGCAGTGACCGGGAGTGTCCACTGCACTCCAGTCTGGGTGACAGAGTGAGACTCCAACTCAAAAAAAAGAAACTAATTTGTTGTAGAGATAAGGTCTTGCCAAGTTGCCCAGGCTGTTCTCGAACCTGTGGGCTTAGGCAATCCCCTCACCTTGGCCCCACAAAGTGTTGGGATTACAGGCTTGAGCCACCACGCCTGGCCTGTTGTTTTATTTTTTTAAGTAGGAGTCTCACTCTGTCACCCAGGCTAAAGTGCAGTGGCATGCTCACGGCTGCCACATCCTTGACCTGCTGGGCTCAGGCGATCTTTTGATTTATTGTGGAGACAAGGTCTTGCCAAGTTACCCATGTTGGTCTCGAACCCCTGAGCTCAGGCAATCCTCACCTCCACCTCCCAAAGTGCTAAGATTACAGACGTAAGCCACCATACCTGGCTTTCTATGGCTCCTTTATAAAAAGGGGCTGTCTCCTCCATCTAAGGAAGCTGTGTCCTTGCCACCCATTGGACCCAACCTTTACCTGCCCCAACTTACCTGTCAATGGAGACTTCCACGGTGAGGGACTCACTGCCTTCCTGGAGTCTCACCAGCAGCCTGAGGAAAAGGGAGGTAGATGGGGGAGTGTCAACCTCAAACTCCTGGATAGACCAGATATTTGAAAAAGATAAGCCGGGCTCAGCTGTAATCCCCGCTGAGGTGAGCCCGGATTGCCTGAGGTGAGTGGATTGCCTGAGCCCGCGGGTTCGAGACCCACCTGGGCAACTTGGCGAGACCTCATCTCTACAATAAATCAAAAAATCAGCCAGGCATGGTAGCATGCACCTATAATTCCAGCTACTTGGAAGGTTGAGGTGGCAGGATCGCCAGAGCCCAGCAGGTTGAGACTGCAATGGCCCAGAGCGGCCACTGCACTCCAGTCTGGGTGACAGAGTGAGACTCCAACTCAAAAAAAAATAAAAATAAAAAGATAATGGAAGAGATCAGAAGAGGTAGACAGATCCTGGGGAAAGGGAGAAGAAAAGGCCGGGAGCAGGAACATCTGTAGAGCCAGAAGACACGCAGCGGAAGGAAGCAGGATGAGTTCTAAAATGCCAACCTTGTTTGGACAGTGAACTTGCTCCCAGTCTTGAGGATGAGGGGTCGATGGGGAGTTTGGGGCATGCAGGGCTGGGTTTCTACCACAAAGGCTCTGGGGAGAGAGATGCAGAGAGAATGTAGAGCTCAGCATCTTTCGAATGGCTCCCCTTCCACCTTCCCTCCCCGGGCCACCCTCCCTGGCCTCTAGACCTTTGGAGCAGACGCTGTAGCAACTCCTTGACCTGGGCGCTGCGCTGCTCCACGCCTTTGGTCAGAGGATCATCTTGATAGGTAACCTGGCTGCTCAAATCATCCAGCTGTTTCAGTAGTTGCCGCAAGTGAAACAACAACTTGGCTCCAGCTGTGAACCTGGGTGACAGGATTCAGGGAGAAGGAATCGTGAGTCTCCTGGAGGCTCATTTGGGCTGTAAGAGCTCTTCTTCAACATGGGCAGAGTCAGAAACCAATGGGGGCCAAAAAAGAACCCAGGAGGCATATACGAGGTTATTCAACTGGATTCAAAAGCTGAGAAACAAAAATCAAAGCCACTTTTACATATAAAACTGAAAAAAGAGCTGGGCATGGTGGTTCATGCCTGTAATCCCAGAACTTTGGGAGGCAGAGGCGAGAAGATTGACTGAGTCCAGGAGTTTGAGATCAGCCTGGGCAACTTGGTAAGACCTTGTCTCTACAATAAATCAAAAAATTAGCCAGGCGTGGTGGCACATGCTTGTGGTTTTCAGCTACTCGGAAGGCTGAGGCGGAAGGATCGCCTGAGCCCAGCAGGTTGAGGCTGTGGTGGTCGAGAGCGTGCCACTGCCACTGTACTCCAGCCTAGGCGACAGACTGAGACTCCGACTCAAAAAAAAAAAAAAATTTTTTTTAAATGTTCTGTAAGGACAAAAATAATAAAATAAAATAAATTTCACATGAAAAAAAAAAAAAAGAAGCCAGGCTTGGTGGCTCAGCCTATAATCCCACGCTTTGGGAGGCTGAGGTGAGTGGATTGCCTGAGCTCACGGGTTCGAGACCTGCCTGGGTGACTTGGTGAGACCTCATCTCTACAATAAATTAAAAAATCAGCCAGCATGGTAGTGTGTGCCTGTAATTCTGGCTCCTCGAAAGGCTGAGGCGGAAGGACCGCGAGAACCCAGCAGGTCGAGGCTGCAGTGGCCGGGAGCGGCCACTGCACTCCAGTCTGGGCGACAGAGTGAGACTCCAACTCAAAAAAGAAAAGAAAACAAAACAAAAAAGAAATGATCAATGTTCCCAGTGATGGCAAATATCCTGATGTGATCATTACACAATCTTTGCATGTATCAAAATATTACATATACCCCACAAACATTACATATCAATAAAAAGAACAATGCAAAAAATAGACACATTTGTATATAACCTAGACAAAATCTGGGGAAAATTTATTCAGATATTGACAATAGGTACCTCTGGATGACCAAATTAAGAGTGGTTTTCGCTGGGCTCGGTGGCTCAGCCTGTAATCTCTCCCACTTTGGGAGGCCAAGGCGAGCAGATTGCCTGAGCCCATGGGTTCGAGAACCGCCTGGGCAACTTGACGAGGCCTCATCCCTACAATAAATCAAAAATTAGCCGGGCATGGTAGTGCGTGCCTGTAGTTCCGGCTACTTGGAAGGCTGTGGTGGAAGGATTGCTGGAGCCCAGCAGGTCAAGGCTGCGGTGGCCAGGAATGTGTGTGCTATTGCACTCCAGTCTGGGCAACAGAGTGAGACTCCAACTCAAAAAAAGAAAAAAAATGTAACAAATGGTCAATAGAATAGCAATGTCATCACCAAGAAGAAATGGTATATATTTTTACCCAGGAACACAGCTTCCAGGAATTTATATTACAGAAGCAATTAGGGATATAAACAAAGATGTAGCTATAAGTGATATTTACTACAGCAGCATTGTTTAAGATGCCAAGAAATCACCCACAGGTCATAGTTTGCTAGTCCTGTATGATGATGAATGTTTGCAACTGCAATTTAAATGTCGGTCCTAGACCCTAAGCACTATATATCTATTTTTCTTTTTCTTTTCTTTTTTTTAATTTTAATTTTTTTTTGAGTTGGAGTCTCATTCTGTCGCCCAGGCTGGAGTGCAGTGGCCGCTCCCGGCCACCGCAGCCTCAGCCTGCTGGAATCCGGCCATCCTGCCGCCTCAGCCTTCCAAGTAGCTGGAAATACAGGCGCGCGTTACCATGCCCGGCTGATTTTTTGTTTTATTGCAGAGATGAGGTCTCGTCAAGTTGTCCAGGTGGGTCTCGAACCCGCGGGCTCAGGCAATCCACTCACCTCAGCCTCCCAAGGCGCGGGATTACAGGCTGAGCCACCGAGCCCGGCTCCTATTTTTCAATTTACCTGAACAGTTATGGTATATTCTTAAAATTAATTAATTAACTAATTTGTTTATTTTCTCTAGAGACGGTCTCGTTATGTTGCCCAGGCTGACCTTGGACTCCTGGGCTCAATCAATTCTTCTGTCTCACCTCACAAACAGTTGGGTACTGTGTTATATTGTTTAAAGTCTAAAATTATAATAAATTTTCTCATGATAAAACATTTAAAAGAATAGGTACTTTTCAAGTCTGTTGAAGGACATATTAGTAATTCTTTTTGGCATCACAATATAATTACTATAAAAATAAAGCATTTATTGGAAAAAATAGCAGGAAATTAAAAATAACCTAAATGTCCAAAAACAGGAGTTTACTAATTAAATTATGTTATTATTATATAGGGGACTATTTTTTTTTGGAGTCGGTGTCTCACTCCGTCACCCAGCTGGAGTGCAGTGGCACACTCATGGCCACCCCGGCATCGACCTGCTGGGTTCTGGCAATCCTCCTGCCTCAGCCTTCCAAGTAGCCTGAACTACATGCCCGGCTAACTTTTATTTTTTTTTTTGAGTTGGAGTCTCACTCTGTTGCCCAGACTGGAGTGCAGTGGCCGCTCCCGGCCACCGCAGCCTCGACCTGCTGGGCTCCGGCGATCCTTCCGCCTCAGCCTCCCGAGTAGCTGGAACTACAGGCGCGCACTACCACACCCGGCTCATTTTTTGATTTATTGCAGAGAAGAGATCTCGCCAAGTGGCCCAGGCGGGTCTCTAACCCGTGGGCTCAGGCAATCCACTCACCTCAGCTTCCCAAGGCGCAGGATTACAGGCTGAGCCACCGAGCCCACCTTA